GTTATATTTTTTCTTCTTTATGCCCACTCACTTGTCACTCCGAAACGTTATATTTCTTCTTCTTTATGCCCACTCACTTGTCACTCCGAAACGTTATATTTTCTCTTCTTTATGACCACTCACTTGTCACTCCGAAACGTTATATTTCTTCTTCTTTATGACCACTCATTTGTCACTCCGAAACGTTATATTTAAGTGAGTGGGCATAAAGAAGAAGAGTCACTCCGAAACGTTATATTTTTTCTTCTTTATGCCCACTCACTTGTCACTCCAAACTATCACCTTACTTCCTCGTAAGGGGCATTCCTCTCATTTCAAACGAGTTTAGTCTAGGGGTCACGTACGTCTGGTTGAAATGTTTACTTTCATTTAAAGTTTGAGCCAATTGGACACAATTCAACTTGTACAAAATCGCACACATTCGTTGAAGATTGTAACTATATCAACATAGTTAAACTTATAGATGACATTCCTTAACAGTTTGTTTTCCTACATTCTTGCGAGACACTTCTGGTTTATGTAAATGTTTGGTTAAAGTAACCCAATATATATAATTGTTCAATTAACTATGATTCAGTATATATATATATATATAAAACATTAGTGTCGTTATGCTTCAAAATTCAATATATTAAATAAAAACATTGCAATCTAAAGAGAGGCATCCACCAATATGAAGTTGATTTAGTCAGCTGTTTTGATAACACATGTGTTGTGCTTTAAATCAGTTTTCCTAATGTGCATACATAGTCACTTAGTCGCTAAAGTAACTTCGAAGGTTTAGAGAAAATATTTCTAACATTGGTAATTTGTTTTCTTACACGTATGTCTGAATCAAATACCACTTGGTCATGCACTGCAAGAATTACAAAAACTCATTAAACGTAATAAACTTGTTATTTTATTAAGGAATTGTACATAAAGTTACTTATGAAAAAAAAAAACACTCTTAAGATAGGGTTAAAATCATCAAATTTAATACCAATAGCATTTGTTTGATTGATAAAGTTAGTTATATAATTTGTTTTGTAAAAAACTTATTCGGTTAATTAAGTTTATATTAAAAACTTTCAGAAATTTAGTATTACAAAACATCGTTGCTTCTTCAAAACGATAAAACACCCTAATATTATTAATAATTTTTGACTTATAAAGTTATGATTCTGTTAATGGTTTATAGCTTTTTTTTTGTTCATATATCTATCATGGTATTTACACTACCGAGAAGTTGTTAAAGTAAAAGGAAAAATTATTCTTGCACAGTATTTTGATCTCTCCAAAGTATTACACAGATCATAATCAGCTTTAGTAAATTTACATTCAACTATCATAGGCAAAAATGAGACTACGTAACTTTCATTTAACTTCCACGAGGTTATCCTCAAACTTTTGATTTGAAGATATTTGAAAAGTAAAATAATAACGATAAACATATTCTCTAAATAAGAACTAAACAGAAAACTTTTTGAAACTGTTTATATGTAACCTTCGATGTCTTGAATAAAAGCATGATTCGTGTACCCCTTTGGGCAACTGGAGTACATCTCTTTGTTTCCAAGGTTTTTTATAACTTCTGAAATAGTAACTTCTTCAACTGTGTCCCCTCTTATAGTTGATTTCAAACAATTTTCGTTGTCTGGAAATCTTGATTTTTCTACATTCTCGAAGTTTTCAGAAGAGAAGTTCGTTATATGAGTTTTAATATCTTCGACAGACCAAGATTTCACCTTGGATGCTTTAAAGTAGGACCCCTTTTCTTGATTACGATAAGGGTTGTTGCCTCTAACTATATAAGATTTATCCATTTCTGTACATTCAGAGGAACTGCAGGTGTACACCAGTCCATTTTCTTTAAATGTCTTCATCGTTGGAATGTTATTATATTTCTGTATTTGACTGGAGACGTCAGAAAAACTACGCCGATGACTCCCTTTTACGTAGTTAGGTTCATTATTGAACTGCTCGGATTTCCTGTCATTGGTTTCAAACCTCTGAGCCAAAACATCTTTAAAAAGTTCGTTGAATTTATCTAGAGTGCTTTCAAGTAGTTCTGACGAGGATTTCGAAGGATTGTTTGTTTGTGAACTGTAGAAAGTATTTTCACATGAAGTTGCTGATTTTCCACAAAGATCCAGAAACTTTTAAGTGATCATTTCTTGAAAACTCATTTTGTTTTCTTTCTTCTGATCTACCGTTCTTGGATTTTAAATGCGATTCAGTGGTTTCTGTATTCTCCTCTAACAAAGCAAATTCTACGTGATGCTTGACGCTTTTAGAATCACTGTAAGATTCGTTTTCTTCGCAACTTTTAAAATTCTTCTCAGTGTTGTTGAGCACTTCAACAGTCCACAC